AAGAGCCAATTATTTTATCCTGTTCTTGTACTCTTCACTTATTCTGTTTGCACAACGATTCCCATATATTTATGCCTATGTTTAAGCACATCTGACATTTAGCTCTCATTTCTTTTTCCTGGAAGTCACACAGAGAATTTAAACAGTGGAATTCCTTTCAGACTCTTGTTTCCACCAATTCTCCTCTGGCTGTAATTTTCAAAATCCAGTTTTCAGAGCTGTCTGACTTCTAAACTTGCCGAGAGGCTGGAGAAATGGTTAGCAGCACCAGCAGCTCTTCCAGAGGACCTGGGGTCAATTCTAGTGTCCCCCGCCCCCAGTGGTGGCTTACAACCCCTTCACAGGAGTTCTGGTGCCCTGGGCCTCTCTCCAAGAGCACTGACAGACACACAGGCAAAATACCCATACACATTTAAAAAAAAAAATAGTAAAAAGTTTTAAACGTAGTCATTTAAATCTACTAATGGTCTTCAAGAAATTAATCTCTTGGAATCGATGAGTTAAAACCTTTATGTCTGTAACACTGTCATCTTCCTGTAGTTATAGCTGGTTTCTATGTAACATGATCCAATAACTCCTATGAACACAGAGAATCGGGTTTTATTCTGAACAGCCCTTTGTAGTTAAAAGTTCCATATTTGAATGAAACAAATACTTTAAAATTTCGGAAATCAGAAACATGCTTTGTAAGTGAACATCTACATGATATTCTAATGATTTAGGCAATTGTTTTTTAATCACCGGTTGGCCTAAGTGGAGCCCACATCTAAGTCGATTTTACCAGAGACCTTCCCATTAACAGCAACCACATGCTCCGCTTGTCTTGTACAGATCTTCTCCATTTAGGTACTGCATCACTAGAATACGAATTTCACCAAAGCCTTGTTAGCTTTTTTTTTCTTCGTTGTAATGCAGGGTGAGAGCAGTCTCACGCTTGAATAACAAAAGAATCAACTTAAAAGGTAGGATTGTTTCAGAGTAAGATGAGAAATGGAAGAACTGGGGGGGCAGGAAGGCCCCATCTCCTTAAGGTTTCACCACCTTCTGAGAAAGTGCTCCAGATGGGAACCAAAAATTTAACACATGGCTTTGAGTGACATGCAAGACCAAACTATATAAACAGCCCAAAACTACATTTTAACTTTGAAACTAAGCGATAATGCCTCAGTGAAACCAGAATCTGTTCTCTATAACCTGTTTGCCTACCTACAGTTCAGAAAGCACACACTTATTTTGACATCACTTGCTCTAGAGAAGCTATGCTTGCTCAGGAGTTCCTAATTTCTTCTGTAAATTATCTCAACTATTCCCGTGGTTAGCCTACATTTAGACATTTAGTCTCTTTCTGGATTTCATCTTTTTGTCTCAACAATTTTCCAAAGGCAGATACCTACAGGTTAAGATATATCTGAGCCCAAAAGTTGGTTTAAAACAATTTTCCTATATATCTTACATAACTACTTCAAAATGTTACTGTTTTCCTGTTTGTCAATGAGGTACAAAAGAAGAGAAAACCTTTGTAGTAATAAATAAAACTTGCAACTGTGAGACAGTTTTCCCTGTGCTGTATAGTTATGTAATCTGAGTAGAAATATTTAAAGTCACAGTTGGAAGGTTACTTTCCTAGCATGCATGAGGCAGCTGCTGTTCCATTGTCCAGCACTACAAAAATAACTACATCAGCTAGCTTGTCCCTGCTAAGCTGCTGAGGACATCAAACCAGTTCTGAAATGGATACAACCAAAGTGTTCTGGCCAAAGACACTCTTAATCTGGTTTAAACCCCCCCCCACACACACACACAGACAATAACTGAAACTCTTCCTCTTTATCTCAGCAAATGCAGTTAATTTCCTATTTTATTCAACAATCTCCACAAACCGCATGCGCTTTCAGGTCAAGAAACTCCTGTAAGTAAACTAGAAACACACATGTAACAGCAAGAAACTAGGGTGTCAAGTGTGAGCAGCTTGTTTTGCTGTCAGCAGTGTTTAGAATACAGCAGAGCTGAGTCACATAAACTTGCTGAACGCCACAGAACAAGCATATCTACCTTGCAACAGAATCAGAATCAAGAATTTGTTTTTTCAATACTCTGGATGAGATTCAGAAATTGACACTGTCTTATGTTAAACAAAAGTCAAGAAGTGACCACAGTTGTGAAGATCTATAAAACAGTTAAGAGAGCTATAGAAAGGTTTTTTTCTTCTAATAAAATATTAAAACAAAAAAGCAAAAGCTGTAATGCTACACTCCTAATTCGTTGATTTGAACATAGGAAGTTTCTTAAAAATGGTTATCTTGTATTAAAAGCCAAAAAATCTCCCAAGCAACAGGAAAAATAGGGAGAAACAATGTATCAATGTGGCTATAAAGTTTGGGGTAAGCGTTGGGGGAGACTTTATTATTCTGTTTGAATGTCTTTCACCATGTGCATTATGGGACCATCCACACCAGGTTCCAGCTGATCATTTAACTCGTGAATTCAACTCACACTGTTGGCTTATTTTTAAAGAAACCACAAAATACAATGCTATCTGAAATCTCCCATTTTAAGTGCTGTGAAGTTGAATATTACACAAGTTTAACAATACTTCTATATTTGGCTGCATCATCGATAAAGCATGACCAGCAGGTAAAATTCTACACTTTTTGACAAGCCAAGGGATGGGGCATATCAGGAGACAATGCATTTTCCTAATGCCCAGAAAGGCACCTCAGAGATAATTTTTGCAACCTCTAGATTACATGGCAGATCACTGGAGCTGGGTACGATTTACAAGCATGTCCTAATTACCTAAGCTGCTCATTGCTAGGCCTTTTTATTCTGGCAATACACACGGATTCCCTCTTTGGTTTGCTGATGCTGGACCAAGTATTCAGGGTTCGCGCAGGCTCTACCGCAGAGCTACAGTCCCAACTCTACTTTTTTCAGGGTCTTGATAAACTACTCAGGCATGCCTTAAACTCATAATCCTGCCTCAGTCTCTTGAGCAGCCAGAATTACAGGCTTATACCACTGAGCAGGGTATTTTCTATTTTATTTAGTGTATTTGTCAAACAGTTTTAATAGTCTTAAGTGTATATGTTAATATAAAGTGACTGTATGCAATACACATGAAAATATTCAACTCACCTCTAAGATTTATGACCAAAGAGACATAACATTTATAGCTTTTCTTTTGTTGCTAAGCTTTCACACATATATAAGGATGTTTAAGAACAAAACAAAGCACCCCTTCCAAGATTTTAGAGGAGTTTTTATAGACATGAGCCAGGCAGGATTATGGGTACAACATATTTAAATCTGGGGAACTAATCAGCTCTTACAGAGATGAAAACTTCTGAACTAGTACTTTCCCCAGGACCCACCTCTAGTCTAAAACTAGCACGGAGGGCAGTGTCAAGACACAGACAACACTAGGTTGTGGCTGTTTCTAATACAAGTCTGTCACTACCTAGCTATGCAGCTATTTTCTAGGTTATTCTAAGAAAAACTGTTTCAAGTAAATTCATGGTTACAATATAAACAACCACTGATTGAAGAAATGGTATGGTTTAAGAGGTTTTTTTAAAACTGACCAAATGTTGAAGTACACGGTAAAACAGTGCACCATTAGGTCTCTTCCAGTCTCAGAATGCACAGGAGCTATTACTGGAGCACCACCATCTTCTATGAACTCCAGTTACAGCAGGAGGTACACGACCCACCTCAACACTGCTCCAGAGCTGCCTTTACAAAGTCAGCTGTGGAGTAGATAGTTTCCAGAAACAGCTGTATCCATGACAAGGTCTAACTATTCCTTTTTATAAAGGTCCATTGTTTCATAGCAGGGAGGGCAACACACAAAGAGAGAAGAAAAATAGTATCATCAAATGTAAGAATGTTTACTACCTACTCATTCTGCAAACCACTGTTAAACTGGTTTTCTTAGAATTCATAGTATCTTACAGCCCTGAAGGTAAGCATGTATAACATGAATTTACATTAATCCGCTACCATTTATCTTAAACAACAGAGCACCAAAAGACAAACGCAAACTAAAAAGCTCTGAAAGTAGGTGTTATAAAGATGGGAATCCATACGTCAGTCAATTATATTTGTTGACTTCTAGTTAGTGGGAGAGGCCAGGGCTGCCACCCAGTGGTAACATCAGCCTCCAAGTGATTTTAAGATTTAAATTAAAATTTTTTAACTACTACATCAAAGAAAAAAGTGAAATTACACAACTTTGATTTTTACCAGCTATAATTTTGGTACATTAGTGTTTAAAATAGCAAAGAACAGCAATGTTCTTCTGCTTACATAGCATTAGGGACTTTTGTTAGTATGCTTACATTTACAGGATGAGGAGAAGAGTGACTAACAGCAGATTCAATACTTTAGTCTCTCATTCACACACACGAAGTACTAACTGGAAAACAGACAATTTAAATAACACACCTAACTACAGCACATTTCCCCACAGCACATCATTTCAGTGTCCCACGTAAGGAAACTGAACGATAAGGAGGGGGTGGGTATAACTCAGCAGCAGAGCCCTGCTAGCGTGTGTAACTTAGGGTTCAATATGCAACAGTGTCAAAAATGGCTTTCAGTAAATCAGATACTGGGAGAAGAGGTTAGGATTCTAAAAGGAGAATTAGAATTGATATTTGGAGAGAAAAAATTTCTTCACATCTCATTGCTTACTATTTTCCCCAAACTGGTGGAAATATGGCATCATCTTATACAACATACTTTGGTCAAGGAACACTAGAGACACCCATTTCATTTCAACAGCGAACTGTCAGGGACTGCTCTGTTCCCTTCAACAACCAAACGAAGGAAAGAAGACACTCCCTAAAGTCTTAACATTTTCGCTTAAATAGCTATAAATTATGTTTTCTAACATATATCCAGGGCCTTTTGAATACAATGAATGGATTTTAAAATGAAGGCACAACAAACAACATAACTTTATATTTACAATGGCTTATGACAGATACAATATCTGAAAATAATTTCTAGTTTTGTTTATTATTGCTATTTAGTCACAGAAAAGATTAACACTTTACAAGAAATGAATTTCAGCATATGCCATATAGATATGATTTTTATGTGAAGAGGAACTATGGGAGAACAGGATACCTTTACAAGGAAATAAAGTAACACCAGTAAAAGAATTCTTCCATATAAAGATTTTTGAACCAAATTATTCTTTTTTTTAATACAAAACTTTGTTAGAAGGAAAAAGAAAAATAGCAAAGACAGTAAGATAGAAGACCAAGAATAAAGAACTTTTCTATATAGATGCACTGCATATGTAGATATATGTATGGGTTGAGTTATAACAAAAATACTCATGTATTACAGTCAGTTCTCATACAGTTAGAAACAGCACTTTCCAAGCAAGTAAAATTGGCCCAACACGCTCAGTCTTCAATTACATGACGAGTTAAAGCTGTGTAGCAGTCACTGCTGATGAGTATCAAGACAAATGTTTGACGAGATACAGTTTTTCTCCTTGTTCACTTGTAAAGATCGGTGCCTTTTTGTAATGTTCTACAAGTTCCTCCATGGTGCTGAATTTCCGCTGCCCAATGCAGTAAACTGTCTCTTTCAGTTGGACTTTAAAATGCTTGTTTTTCCCTTGCGCTTTTAGTGATACTGAGAAATCATTTGGCTAAAAGAGAAAGGAGAGGGGAGGTAAACATTGTGAAAGTCATGTATCAGAATTTAAAATAAAATACAACTGTTAAAATCCGAACATTAACTAAGTGCAAGACACTACACTAAATTATTTACATAGTCTCCTTTATTCCTCAAAAGAAACCCTTTTTATGAGTGAGGAAATGAGGCTCGGAGAGTATGCCTGGGATCACGTATCAGTAGATAATCGACAAGCAGACAGGATTCTAGAGTCTCCTAACACCCACAGTGCCCAAAGAGTAGTACAAACAGAAAATCCATTAGGAGAAAAAAAATGAGAAAATTTCAGACTTCTACTCCACCATGCCCTTTCAATTCAGAGTTGACAGGAACTAACTTAAGACACAATGTTCTGAATTTTCAAAATTAAAGGACGACTAAGAATTCAACTGAACTTTAATAAATCGTGAGAAACAAATTCATACAAGGGCCAACAAAGAACCATAAGTAAAGGAGACAGAGGAAAGAGGATGCGGCCAGCATACAGAGATGGACTACTCATCTGTGATTGCTGCTTTTCAGGAACACTCTCCCATGTTGACTGGCCTTCGTCTTTTATTGCACCTTTATTTATGTGTATGGGTGTTTTGCCTGCATGTACGTCTGTGTATCACATGTGAACAGGGCCTGTGGAGGCCAGAATGGGGGTACTGGGTGCCCTAGTTATAGATTGTTTGAGTTGTCATGTGGGTACAGAAATAAAACTGGGTCCTTTGAATAAGCAACCAGTGCTCCTAATCACTGAGCCACCTCTCCAGCATGGTCTAAATTCTAAAGGGAAATTTGAAGCCTAATTTTCAAAAGATGATTTTATTATTTTTTAAAAATTTGTGGATGTTTGTATGTCTGTGTGTGGATTATATGTACAGTTATACAGATGTTCAAGGAGGTATCAGATTCCCGAAGAGCTGGAGTTGCAGGTAGCTATAAGCTATCTGATATGGTGGTGGGTACTTAATGGAGTCCTCTGGAAAAACAACAAGCACTTCCCATCTATTTAGCTCCAAGTCTGGATTTTTATAAACCCTTTGCTATTTAAATATCGAAGAAAGATTTTTAATTGTATAGGCCAAACAAAAACATTTAAGGTCTATAGCTGAAAAACAACAGTACTAAAAATAATTATATATTTTGGCTAGTATTTAAACTCTACACACAAGTAAAATAGCATTATGTATTTAAGTCTCTTTCTTAATTAGGTAGTGGTAGCTGCAGCTGTTGTTTTAAACCTACTACTTCTGAACAATCTGCGTCAAGTCAACAACAGTGACTTAAATGGTGTGCTACATATCAGGATTTTAACAGAAAACGGACTCCACTATTCTTCTCTATTAAAAACTATCTGTCTTCTGAGAGGTTAAAGGTATCATTTCCCCCAACTTCACAGCACGAAGTTCAATTCACCTCAGTCTCATACACATATTATTTTCTTTTTTTTTCATATAATACATTCACAGAAAGTCAGTATTAACCATGATTTGATAAGTAGGAAAGTAGTGATATTGTTTACCAGGAAAAGGTTTTTAGAAAAACAAGAACCATCAAATTTTAACATATAAAACAACACTTAAAAGAGCTATGTCATTTTTCAATTTGTATATTTTAATTGTTTAGCTAGTACTGCAATATGTTACCTTTTACTGAAAATACATTTCAAATGGTGTTAAATATGTTTAAGATTGAGCAGTGGTGGCGCACACCTTTAATCTCAGCACTTGGGAGGCAGAAGCAGGCAGGCCTTTGAATTTAAGGCTAGCCTGGTCTACAGAATGAGCTCCAAGACAGCCAGGGCTACACAATTAAAGCCTGCCTTGAAAAATCAAAACAAAAACAAAACAAAAAAACCAAAAGGTTGTTGAGATGAATAAAAAGCCAAAAGAGTCAGGTATGGTGTCATAGACCTTTAATCCCTACAACTCTGAGTTCAAGGTCAGCCTGGTCTACCCAGTGAGTTCCAGGGCGGCCAGGGTTGCTTAGTGAGTACTCACTGTCAGAAGGAAAGAAGGGGGGGGGGGAAGAGAGAAAGAGGGAGGAATTTTAAGTAAGCAATTAATTTATGAAGACACAATTTTTTTATAGTTAGAGAATTCCTGAAAGGACTACAATGATAGCATTCTTATTATATTACATTAAGCAGCAGTTTAATTTGCATTATTCTACTCTCAAGAAAGAAACCAATGCTCAGTTTTCCCCATTTTTCAGTTTAATGGGACAGAGAATATTCCAGAAATGCAAAAATCAATACAACTGAAGACATTAATACAACATAGTCACTGCTCCACCGGGCTTATTCATAACAGGTTCACTGGGAAGAACACATCCCAGCTTACAATTTAGTTAGGTGTAAGTAAGTCGTTCAACCTCGCCAACCTTACTTTTAAAAGCATGGAGCTCTATGTCCATTTACCTTTGAAAATCAACTTACCGAAGATTCACTATCACGAATGAGGAAGTCTCCTTCATGCCCCCTTTCATTTAATGCCATTTCTGCCTGGTGTCTGGTGACTTTGCCATAATACCAAGGATTGCCAGCAAACTTTCCAGTGAGTGAAGGCCTAATGTAATCACACTGTGGAGGTGATGGTTCCAAACCTGAAGTTAATGGGTTATTCTGCATAATAGTAACATAGTTTTTTGGCACCAGGCCAACCGTGCCATTGATTTTCCTGCATTTCCACCACTCTGGGTCATTTTCCGGCTTTTCAATAACATCCATTACATCGCCTTTCTCAAAATTGAGTTCTTCATCATTGGATGAGCTGAATGGGTAAAGAGCCTGTACCACATGCAGTACTTGACCTGTATTCAGATTGTTGACAACTGCTGCTAATTTCTCTGACAGAGAACCTACATGGTCACCCAAAGGACTGTCACCTTCTTCAGTTACATAGTTTGAAGGAAACCATCCAATCTGTCCATTGTAGCTGCCACGCCACCACCCATCACTGCATTTCTCCATGACGATCACCTTTGTCCCTTTTATCAATGACAGCTCATCCTCTCTCTCAGCCATGTAGTTAAATTTCACAAAAGCAGGCATGTTGAGGTCATAGAGACGTTCCCCTGGATCAACAAAGCTATCATCAGCAGGAGACGCTGTATCTGGAACACTGGGTTTTCTTTTCACTTTTCCAATGCCTGTTTAAATAAAGAGGAGGCAGTAAGACTACAGCTTCAACTCAGCACACTTACCCCAAGCCTCTGGATGTGGGAAACAAAGTGACATGATGCAATCATCTTTTGGGAAATAAAATAGTTCTTTTTCCAAAGCCAATCAAATAAACTTGTCATGTGATAGTTTAGCTCCTCTTCCCCTGTCAGAACCATGAAATAACTACATAATAAAGTTGTCACATTGAAATTTCTTGTGTTAATATAGTTCATTTCTCTCATAGATACAATTAAGAACACAAACACTCCAGTAATCCACACTTGACATCTTACTTTATTCATCTAGATTTTGTAATTAGCTGCATAAAAATGAAACAATTATTTAAATTAGCACCTGATACACAATATTAAATTCTATTTAGATAATCTCATTTGATAATTTCTTAGTTTCCAAAACCAGAAGATCAGTCTATGTATCTATTCATTTTTAAAATTTTATTTACTCATTTGTTCCCTTCATCCCAATTCACATAACACCTCCCAAAAGGCAGGGATTGTTCATTTTGCTCACAGATAAAAATCTCAAGAATCTTGAAGGGTACTTAGTACATAGAATGTTTAATGTATTTTTATTGAAAGAAGTGAGAAAATAAAAGTAGAAATGCATACTTCAAGTGCAACCAGGCCGCTCATTTCCCATTATCTGATGTTTTGCTTTTTACTTTGAAAAATTAGGACATAAAACTATTCAAATTTCTCCCTACACTTTTTTTGGTTCTTGTTTGTTTGCTTTTTGAAACAGGGTTTCTTTGTGTAGCCCTGGACATCCTGGAACTGGTTCTGTAGACCAGGCTGGCCTCGAACTCAGAGATCCATCTGCCTCTGCCTCCAGAATGCTGGGATTAAAGGTGTGTGCCGTCACGACCTGGCTTCTTTCTACACTCTCAAAACAAAATAAAACAAAACAAAAAAATCAACCTTATTATTCTCATTCTTTGTTTGGCCAAGGCCCCAACTTCTGATCCTCCAGAGTTCTCTCTTCTCATAACCATCTTTTCTCTCCAGAGACTCCACACTACCTTTTTTCTTTTTTACATAGACTCATCAATTACCTAAAAACATTCTCAAATCACTTTAATATCAAAGTTATTTTACTTTTCTATTCTTTTTAGCAATTTTTACATTTATTTCTGCATCTATTTACTTAGCCTAGCATGTATAGCCAGAAACAACTTTTGAGAGCTCATTCTCTCCTGCTGTGCAGGTTTCAGAGACTGAACATAGGCTCAGAATACACTGTGCTATTCTTTTGAAATTCTCTTTCTACTTTTCAACTTCTTCAACTGTTGCTTGCACACTACCCCCCTTTAAAAATGTATGCTTATTAACTACTTTGAAAGGCCAGTGTTGTACACACAACACAAAGCATGTTTGGAGTTCAGAGGGAAACTTCCAGAATTAGGTTTTCTCATTCTATGTGAGTCCTGAGGATCACATTGAAGTCATCAGGCTCAGCAGCCAATGTCTTTACACACTGAGCCACCGTGTCAGCTCACACACAATCTTTGTTTTTACACACTGAGCCACCGTGTCAGCCCCACACACAGTCTTTGTTTTTACACACTGAGCCACCGTGTCAGCCCCACACACAGTCTTTGTTTTTACACACTGAGCCACCGTGTCAGCCCACACACAGTCTTTGTTTTCACACACTGAGCCACCGTGTCAGCCCCACACACAATCTTTGTTTTTACACACTGAGCCACCGTGTCAGCCCCACACACAATCTTTGTTTTTACACACTGAGCCACCGTGTCAGCCCCA